AAGGTACAGCTGAAATACCTCAAAAGCTACATGAAATCATATCCCGGGAAGCGAAAATTTGGTTTCACTTTTTTTTCCGACTTGTGTCATCGTGAACCTGGTCTTGTCCATGCTGCTGATAGCGGAATAACAGCCTTTTTCGAGTCTCTTCAACGAGAGAATCTTTTGAATGATACCCTGTTCATTACAATGTCCGACCACGGCGCAAGATTCGAGGAGGTGAGACAAAGTCCTCAGGGGAAATTGGAGCAGCGACTTCCATTTCTTTCTTTGACGTTTCCTTCGTGGTTTAAACGTAGCTATCCCGATCAAATTGCAGCTCTGGTTAAAAATACTCACATCATTTCGTCACCGTTCGATCTTCATAAAACGATAAAACATCTATTAGCGTTTCCGAAAAAGCATTTTATCGAGACGAATACGACAGGTAAAAGCTTTTTCGAGCCATATTCTATCAGCAGAACTTGTAGCGATACGGGCATTCCGGAATATTACTGCCCGTGTTTAAAGTGGCACCCCATTAGTATAAGTCATCCGCATGCAACGGAAGCTGTCAGAGTTGCGGTGGACCACATCAACAAGCTCTTAATGTCACACCCGATGACAGCCAAACTATGCCACCAACTTAAACTTAAGATGATCGCTGAAGCTTATCAGAGTCAACCAAGCAGTGAAACACATCTTACGTTAGATCTTGAACAAACCATATGCACTTATCAAATTCAATTTCAAACAACTCCTGGTGATGGCATATTTGAAGGGCTAGTCAGGATGGACTTATCCGGGAATTTTAAAGTATATAGTAAATTGGATCGTATTAACATGTACGGCGATCAGCCGCGGTGTATTTATGATGCTGTGCCGTCCATACGATCGTACTGTTTGTGTAAATAATAGTAATAGTCTTAGACGAGGGCTATCTCCTCTGCCATAATTGAGGCAAAGAAATATAGAAGAATTTATTGCATGTTGATGACAACGGCATTAGATTCCGTAGAAACTCCGGCATTCCTTTACTTTAAATCAACTGATCCTCCGTCTGTTTTCCCTGTAAACCATGTGATCCCCCAGAATCCAATTTGAGAGCAATACGGTTATCCTCGAACGGCCATAAAAAAACCGAGCGCTGACCGCGTAAAACGATCGCTGTAATTAAAGTTATGATACCTAGACTTGGGGCGTTAAAAAGTCGTAAAACGCATAAAGGTTGCGCCTAAATTGATGTTTTTTAAAATACTTACTCACGTTCTTGTGAAGTAACCAGGAGGAACTGACAGAAGATTGACAGTCGTTTAACAAAACATCACCTATTCCTAATTTCTTATGCCCAGGAGGGGGGTGGAGGTGGGGGGGTCGGAAGATTTGGGTTGTGTGACAATAAATTTTACCTGATCTTCTCTAAGTCTCTGTGGTATTCTAGTAATTCTCCCTCTTTGACAGTCAATTTCAACAGTCTCCCCTTAATATTTTTTAGCGACAACTTATCCCCTTCGTTCCCCCATGAAAACGATAAAATTCTCCCAACACCCTCTGACCCCCCCCCGCCCTCCCCAGCCCTCTCACGGTGGTAAATGACGACAGTTTCCTTAAGCTCTCGCAATGCCCTGTGCCGATAGATCGTGATAAGCTTGAGCTCATGCATGCATCGTATGGTGACGATATTTTACACCGACCAAGTAAACGTTAACAAAATCTTTTTCTTGTTTAATAAATTTTCCTTATTGTTTGTAGGATGCCTGGCCAATGAACCAACATGAGCAATTCAAAAGGTACAAAATTTAAATCTTTAACAACAAATATTCAAGTTTCTCAACAGAAAATTTAAAGAAATACAGTTCAGAGATCATGAATGCGTGATGAATTTACAACATGAGCGCACAGTTCGTTTTCGGAGAGGAAGGACCTGCCAGTGGTAATGCATATTTCTGTAAATCAAATGGAAACTACTTAGTATTCAAGTCACACTACCGAGGTAATACGTAACAAGTTTTGAATCCATAGCAACAGAAGTATTACTGATAGCTGCAAAAACATCGATTCGACATGACTATTGTTAGTGAAAAAGGTTCAGGCTTAGTGCCTTAACTAAAAGCACTCTTGGAATAAGGTAGATTGTTCCTTTAAAACAAATCAATTTTAGCACATATATATCTATATTTCCACCTGCACTAGAAAACTTATTAAAAAGCACTCTAAGTTACTGCTTCTAAATTAGCTTTCCCACGAGTAAAAGCAAATCCCGAATTCACGCGGCACTTTCTTTATATTAGCTTGGACATTTTCACTCTTAAAAAAAACTTGAGCAATCAATCAAGCCCTTGTGTGATGACTGTCACAATAGCCAACACCGTTCTATTCAAGAAATTGGACACCACTGTATTAAATAAACTTTAGGAAGTCCAAGAACAAAAGACCCATTTTAATAACACTCTCGATTCTGATAATTTCGAGTTAGTTCAACAAATCTCGATATCTTGTTTTTTTCGAATCCGGTGTGACGTTTCAGATGACTCAAATAATGCTTAAAATCACCTGATCACTGTAAAAAAAGTTTTTCCTTAGAAATGTTAATATGAATAACTGTTTTTCTTTTAAAGCTTTTTTTAGGTCAATCTTTTGTTAGCAACACATTCATGGTTGTCATGCAAAACTGGAATGTTTGACGTTTTGAATAAGTAATATAATCTAGTTTTAAAGAAGACGGGCCATAAAGGGACAGAAGCTTTCTATTCATTTTCCTTTTCGGGTGAGGTATCCCACAGGTAAGTCATGCAGTTTTAAAAGTAGTTCCGCCGCGGAATCTCATAACTTGAGCAAATATACATGACATCAACTCTTTATTAACTTTTTAAGGTTTGGCACGTAACATGTTTCGAATGATAGCGTCGAACGTGGAACGATTATTACTATTGCTAAAAAGAGAAAAAAGAAACTGTCAATCAAATTGAAAAGCGAAGGTTTCCCTACTGGCTTTCGTCTTGTTAGTTAGAAATTTATCTTCAGTTGTACATAGCTAGGGCACTAGACTTTCACAGGCACGAAACATCATATCATTATCACTTTGTCGGGCATTGCGGCGAATTTTGCGGGCTAAGGTGGAGATTTTGGCATCTTAGCCAGTCTACGGACTGTTTTGTTGCCACTTTTTACTAAGTTTTTCTCTTATCAGTGCTAACTCTGCTAACTCGGCCCCAATTAGCACGAACCCCCAGATAACTCTAACAAGATCCCATCTCCATCGACCCCATTTTTTCAGTCACTTACTATCAGCTACCTCGAACCACCGCTAACTCTAACCATTTTTGTTTCCCTTGGGAATTCGAGGGAGCGGGGATCTACTGTTATAGACCTTATGTTAACTCTAAGTCGGCCCAAAACAAATTTTTGGCCGTGTACATAAATTCTATCAGCTATTAGAACTCAATGACCCAATCGGACGCTTGACACGTTTAAACTTGCGCACTTGCAAGTATCAGTTTTTTCCAGAACTTCCGATGGATGAAAAAAAAAAAAAAGATTATTGATTGTGAATGTGGGTGGGTAAAACCCAAACACTGGCAAACAATTGCTCCAAAGGTAAACATTCCCTGCGAAAAAACACGACGGCGACGGCAACGAGGCGGTGACAAAACAAAAGCTTTAATGAGCAGAACAAGAGCACAGCACGTGCGTTTTCAAACTTTGTGCATCTTTCTAGCATTCCCGCTACAAAACAACAACGTGAAGTCACCAAAATATTTAAGTTTTTATGTGGAAAAAATCGCTGTTCATACACGTGATGCTGAAGTTAAGGTGTGGCACCGCAAACGACGGTAAACACATTCATGCAGCCATTTGTGTAATTTCAACTGAAAATGTAAATTATTTTTTTAATCGACGTACTGTTAAGCGTTGCAGTCCTGACTGCAAAAGATTCCTGTTATTGGTAATAAGTTTTAATTTAAACTGATTAATATTTCAGACATACGGAGAAGAACTTCATTTCGTAGCTTTCATCCGGGTTTTACTGGTGAGACTAGGTACATCATCAATAAATTAAAGACAGTTTATACTCTCTTGTACATCCTGGAGAAATATTTTAAAAGAGCAAGAGAAAAAATTCAAGACTGCCTCTGAAAGCTATTTCAAAACAATAGCTACATGTAATGACACACATTTACGTGGCGATCTAATTAATTAATAGTGGTAAGGCGTGGGGTTCCCAGGGAGCAGTCATTAGTAATCGCCTAAGGAGGGGGAGGAAGGGGGACTGGGAGACAGAGGGGGGGGGGGAGTCATTCGTTGCTACCAGAGTATAAAGAAGGGAGTATAGAAAACTTTAATTTTAATTTTACCCTTAAAAGAGTAACTCCCTCTCCCCAGTTCCCTTCGTTAGGAGGCTTGGTTACAAAGGCTACAGTTTTCGTTATATCTTTATACTTTAAATTCTGTCGAACATATCAAGGGAAATTACCTTCATAGGGTTTAAGATTGGTATTTGCACATCACTACTATGGGAGGGAGGATCAACCACCACCACAGAAGGGGGGGATTACGAAAATTATAATCGCCAATAAGAGGGGGGGGGGGGGAAAGAGCCAAAGAAAAGCCTTTAGAGGTTAAGGTAAATATCATTGTGACACAGCCAAAATCGTCCTCCCCCCACCCCCTCCCAACCCCCTTTTCAGGCGATAAATAATAACTGGTTCCTTATTTAACAAGGGGGTCATTAAGGGACGATATAATTTAGGGGGAGTGGGAATATAGAATTCATCTAACGAAAGCTCCTTCTCTTCTCTTTTCTCTTCGAATCTTTCTCTCCTCCTGGAGGGTCTTGATGGGATTATCTGTCAACCATAAAACGGCGAAAAAAATCACTGTTAGTAGTAAGATTGACAAATTTTAACCAACGATGGAAAGAAATCAACCGTAATACGTAAATTGGCCAAAATTTTAATCTTTAGCCTCTCACCCCATCGAGACCCTGTGAAATGACCCAAATGTCTACAGCTACGTTTAGGCAGATTCAACTTCATACAATGTCAAGTCAGGAAAGTTACTTTGTTTTTGTAGGTTTTCATGACCACATGGCGGCTGTCAATGTTAGACTGATCTTGAGGCTTCTTGTGCCTATGGCATTCGCACTCACCATAATGACGCTAATACGATGCATAGAATTCGTCACAAAGTTTCCGAAGCAGTTTCAGTATAGGACTTTTTTCATCTTCAACCGTTCGAATATTCCCCAAAACCAAGGTGCACGCGTATTACCTATGGCTGTCATCAACAAAAAGTCCCATTCAGATGGAGAGCTGGGTTGTAAAGTTCCTACATTGGATCCCTTCCTACCCGTTATTATGAAATCTCTCCAACCCAGAGAGCCAATCAAATGCAATGGTAGACTATATACAGAGTATGAAAATAACGTGTTAAGACTTCTTGATGACATCAGTGAAGGTTTGTCGTGGAGAAGTGTTTTAAGGATATTCTTTTTTTCGTCAATGTTAATATCCCTGATATATATATATATATATAAAAAGAATAAGCAACGTCACTTTCTTAAGTTAAATTCGTTCATCATGCAAATTTAAAGTACCTTCAGCTCAAAGAGGTCTATAAAATTTTATTTCGATAAGATGAAAAAACGCAGCAGAGGCGATGATGAACCATGAAAGTTTGCACAGGATGAATACGATTTAACCCTGAATTTCCAGAACCATTTAATATTTTAGAACATCATCTAGCTTAATTATTCAAGCTTTACAGACAACTAATGACGTATCACATCTTAGCGGCCAGGCGAGGAATGCTCCGCTATTAATAATTTGAAAAGTGATGATGGCGGTAGGAAGACAGTGATAGAGAGATAAAATCACCTGCGATTGTCTTCACGTTGTGTCTGTGCGAATTTGTACGACATACAGCGCACCAATGGATTCGTGCCTTGACTTATGTATCCATACATGGGCATGTTTTGTAACATGAAAGTTTCAAAAGTCCCCTTTTAAATTACCACTTCCCCTTTCACCGGTACGGTTGTTATCGTTAATTGTTTTTCTCATCTTCTTTAGGGCATCAAGTTGATGAGGTCTATGCAGAACCTTTCATTCGTGTTTCTGACTTCAATGTAACACTGGGGGAGAAGAGATTCCTAGAGCTAACGAAGAAAGAGGTCAAAGTACCGATAAATAGTGACTTTTTAAAAGTGACAGTTCGTTTTAAAGATGGCTCTGAGCAGACAGATTTTCACGCCTCGATTTCAGAGATACCCGACGTCGCGCAGCGCAAAGAAACGCACGATGCACCCTTAAACATAATGGTCCTAGGATTAGACAGGACATCCTCAGCCCATTTTCAAAGAATGACACCAAAGACCTATGCTTTCTTAAAGGACCAATTAGATTCCATTATATTCAAGAGTTATTCAATAGTCGGGGAAAATACGGCACCAGCTTTGTCTGCCTTCTTAACTGGCAAGTCACTGAAGGAAAACTGTGCATTCAAGGAAGCAAGGAAAGGTTTTAAAAATGCTGGACGTGTCGACGACTGGCCATTTATATTTAGCGATCTCAAAACCCTTGGAATTCCAACAATGTGGAGTGAAGATCAACCCCCTCTAGGTAAATCGTTTCCAAGGGGAAGTATTCTCCTGAAATTTAGTGATTTTATCTCCAATATTAAACATTTATGTGCAATTATGACTCTGGGCGCGTTTTCAACCCCAAAAGACGCTCTAAGCTTGATGAAATTTGTTTTGGAAAATGGTAAAAATAATTCCTCATGCCGACATTTTGGATATGACCGCTTTCCTCTGCGTAACACTCTCACTTCTCTTTCCACAATCTGATGGCGATCTTTTGAAAAAAATTGGAACTAAAAAAGAAAGATTCAATTGACTAGAAAAAAGTGAGGTTTCGCAATGAGTTTCTTAAACCTCTTAGCGTGGTTAAAATAATCTGGTGTTTGTGCGGCCTGGTTACTAGGCTGGTTACAAAATGCACGTGTCTATGGTCGAAATATTGGCTCAGGTTGTATGTCGAAAGGTTATGTAAATTTTTGTAGTCGAAGACCGCGGTAATTAATTTTGAATTTTTTACAAATATACTCCACGATGGCGAAGATTAGAATTGTGTGATTATTTCTTAACTAAACTTGGAGCAAATTTTGCCAGACATTATTTAGATACCATTTAAACAATATAATTTTTTTTGCTACGGTTTTATCCAAGCAAAGCAAAGAGTTCATGCAGTTTTTACATTTTTAGGAGCGTTTCATTTTCAACTGAAAGGATTCAACAAACAACCCACTGACCACTATGGAAGATCCCTGTGGTGGTTGTATGATGGTAACCTCTGTAAGCACTCCCTTCCACAGTACAAGCTGCAACTGCAATATCTAAAGAGCTTCATAAAGTCCTATCCTGGAAAAAGAAAATTTGGTTTCGTATTTTTGTCAGACCTTTGCCATCGTTGGGCTAATCTTCTTAGTGCTGGGGATGACGGATTTTTGGAATTTTTTAAATCATTAAAGAATGAGAGTCTTCTTAATGACACTTTATTTATTACAATGGGTGACCATGGTCCTTACACATATGGTGCAATACGGGATAGTCCTCAGGGGAAACTTGAACATCGGCTTCCATTTCTTTCTTTGACTTTCCCTGCCTGGTTCAAACGCAGTTATCCAGTGCAAATGGCAGCACTAATCAGGAACTCCAGGATCATTTCGTCACCGTTCGATCTTCACAAAACTATGAAGCATCTGTTAACGTTTCCGCTGAAAACTTTTGTTCAGACGGATACCATTGGTGAAAGCCTTTTTGAACCACTGCCAGATGACAGAGCTTGCGAAGATACCGGTATTCCAGAATTTTATTGTCCCTGTTTAAGTTTGAGATCCATTGACACTGCTCATGCTCATGTTCATCGAGCTGGTAAGGTGGCTGTGAAGCACATTAATGACATTTTGATGTCTCGCTCAATCTCGGCCAGGCTTTGTCATCAACTAGAGTTAAAGGCGATCTTTGAAGCTTACCAGAAAATGCCAAGTCGTGGCTCACCCAAAAACGTTCAAACAGATCACAGAAATACTTCGTGCAAGTACCAGATCAAGTTTCAAACGACACCTGGTGATGGTTTGTTTGAAGCACTCTTAAAAATGAACTCAACCGGAGGTTTTGAAATTTTAAATTACATCTCTCGAATCAATACGTACGGAAATCAGTCAAGCTGTATTGGAGTACCATACATCAAACCATATTGTTTGTGCAGATAACGACTTTAGAAAATATGCGTTGGGACCTACGGACGGAGTTTTACCGCGGATTTTCTCCAATTTCCTCGCCAGTGGAACAAAAACATCGACGATATACACAATGGACAATTTTTCAAGGGGAAAAACGAAGCTCTTTCCTATATGTCTTCGAAAATACTGCGTCGTTTCTAGAGGCCTTCGATAGTAAACATCTACAGCCGGATTTTACCCAGAAACTGCAGTTTTGGAAATTCTGGAAAAGGGAGAGAATTCTCTGAGCAAAACGGGGAGTCCCTGAAGCGCGGGAAATTGCGAGTGACCTGGGCACGAATGGTTTTCATTGAGCATCTGATTGATTGAAAAGATCGTGCTTGAGTTTTTTGACCAATCACATTGAACAATAAAGTAAACGCATTGTCATTCAAAATAGCTTGGAAAATTAAATGAATTGAAAATTGCTCTAAAAGTGACTCTGTGTTTTACAACTATAAGACTACTCAGTAAATCCCGCTTGCTACATAATTTATTACTCTTTTCACAATGGACTTTATATACATTTCGTCAGCTGTGAAAATGATTTTCCAACTGTTGTGTGAAAAATATTGTATGTCCCTGGAACGCACCCCAAAGTAAGAAAGTCGGAACTGAAATTTCAAAAAGAACACCCGTTGGATAAAATCAATTGGAAAGATTCATTTACGTCGTTGGCTTCGGCTTTCGAGAATTGAGTGGGTTTTACTCTACAATCTGTTCTGCAAGGAACAAGTTTCTAAATTGATGAAGAAACTCCCACCAATACTTTTTCCTTACTACAATTCGTTGTTGAAAGCTGTTTATTTTTCATATAGATTCCATTTTGCTGTGTGTCTGTAGAGAAATGGGTTTCAAATGACAAAGTGGCACACGACACTCATGGCGACCCCGGACTATCCCATGAAATGATCATAAATTACTTAGCATATTTTAAAGGAACAGCTTCAAATCACTTGCCAGAATTAGTGAAATCACTTTCCAGATTCTGCGATCTTGTAAATGTAATTAGTCACTGGTCCGCCAGTGCACAGCATGGAGCCATGTGGACACTGAGGAGAGGGAACTCCATTGCTGTTGGTGTCACCTTCATAGCAGAGAGAAGATTCGCCATGTAAATTGTACCTCCCTGCGGCAACTTCATCGCTCCAACATGACCCTAGGCAAGAATTTTTAAAACAGTATGAGTAGTCTATGTTTAAGATCTCTGGAAAAATGGTTTAGATTTTCGACCACACCTCGTATTGATCGAAACTTTGGTTCTATTTCTAAAAAAATGCAGATATTCTAAATGAAACCTTTTCAGAGGCCAGAGACGCACTTTTTTATCTGCCAGTATATGAATCAAACAAAAATCTGTTTAAAACATGTCTGTTTCTCTGCCTGTCTGTCTGTTATAAACTGCTTTTTAAGTTCATTATCCGCCAATTTGTCTAAACCATTTAATGTCCTCGAAAGTGGTCTGTTGTTATGTCTATCCGTGTTTATGTCTATTTATCATCGACTATTAACTGCTTACTAACCATGAGTTTAAAATGTTGGTTTATTAGTCTGACAGCTTTGTGTCTGTCTGTCCGTCTATCTGCATTTTCGTCTGTCTGACTGTCTACCTGCTGGTCTGTCTTTCCGCTGTCTGTGTACCCTCCTGTCTGTCCTCTGTCTGAGTACCCTCCTGTCCGTCCGCTCTCTTTGTACCCTACTGTCTGTCTGTCTGTCTAACAGCCTAGTTACCCATTTGTCGCCCTGTCTGGCTGCTTGGTTACCAATCTTTATTTGTGTGTCTACCGTTTCTCTGCCTGCCTGCTCACCCATCTACCTACTACCTGCGTATCCGTCCGTCTGTCTGTATCTTCAAACGCGTAATGCTTAAAAGTAGTAAAAAAAAAACTATTTTTTTAGTTTTCTCACCAAAATTGTTGACACCAAAGTGATCGTATCCCTTGGCCTTCGCATTACGGGCACAATTGCAGAGGAATATAGGAAAGTCATTTTTCCAGTCTTTCGGGTCTATCATATGCCCCGCAAACACTGAGCTGGATGGGTCCACCTCGTTGTAGATTTCTTCGCCCAAAGCTCGATCATTTCGCACCTCATTGAAGCAACCAACTGCCTCAACTTCAATCTCACATTTGTCGCTCTCTTAATCAGTAGACATAGGTGGGTTAGAAGAAAAAGAGAGAAAAAGAAAAGATGGAGCGATTCAGTTTAGTTGTTTTGTACAATCAACATTCAAATAAATTAAATTGATTGGCTAAGATCGAACGTGAAAATATTGCGAGACTTTTCAATGAACCCGAAAGCCCAGGCAACGGTGAAGTACTCTAACAATATTTGATTATGGTTCAACCTTTTTAATACGACATGGGCACATGTGTGAAAAGCTTCTCGCTATATGGGATATGTGCAATGTTTCCTGAAATATGTGTTATGTTTCCTCACTAAAATATGCAAATAGATTTTAACTGCTAACAGACCACGAGTTCGGTCATTTCATTAGAAATTGAAATATTCTAGCAAACCCATCCTGCTCACTTATTTTATAGACATAGTTTGCAAAGTTTTGTCCGACACAGAATTTGCTGTAGCGCCGACACGGCTGATAACATTGGTCAGTGCAGGCCTTGTGTAGGCCATCCAAGGCAAACGTGTTATGACCATCGTCTCCACTCCAGCACTCCCCTGTTTTTAAACAGAAGAACAAATATACGCTTAAGAATTATATCCTTTCTACACAGAATGTACAGATTTTCAAAGCAAACGTATCCTGGAATAGAAAAGATCTTAGCAGACTGTACCCCTATCCAAGAGCATAAAGTTGCTTAAAAGAAGTCATTTCTTGGCTAAAAGCTGGGATGTAGGTAACTTTAGAGCGCTTTTCGATTGAGTGTCGTAAAAACCAAAACCAAAAAAATCACAACAGCCAATCAGAGGGAAAAAAAAACCTTTAACAGCCAATGAGAACTCGATGTAAAAACAACCAAACTGCCCATAGTGCGGGAAAACGCGGGCGACCAAGTTGTGTTTGGTTTTAGGTTTACTTTTTATTGGTTGAAAGAGTGGCGCAGGGTTTCTGGACCAATTATGGAGCGAAATAAAGCAGAACCAAAGATCGCGTTGTATCACGTTGACGGCTTGATATTTTAGAAGTTTCTAGATGCTGTACCCTTAATGGAATTTGAATAACTTACCGTAGAATTGCAAACCGAAGAAGGTCATGCCCTTTTCTTGTGCCTTCTTGGCACATCTGCAAGCCAAGTCTGGGAGATAAGTGTCCCAGTTCTTCCAGTCGATGAGCTTCCCGCTAAATTTTTTATGGAACACATCGCGATCGTTCATCAAGTAATTTGGCAGGGGTCGCGGGTTTCTGTGTCTGTCCCTGAAACAGCCAACCTTCTCGTATTGAAGGCTACATGTTGTGTCAACTAAAGAGAAGTTAAAGAATGTGATGCATTGAAACTGAAACACAAGATCGATGCCCGTGTGGGTCAATCTCAGTCCCTTTCGCGCCGGGCCTCGTTCGTCTACGCAAGAGGATATCACGTGACCTTTAGTGGTCAGGAATTAAGGCAACGCTGAGGCAGACATCTATTAAATAATAATTGATATTTCTGGTTAGAATTCAGCGAATGGCTGGAAATGTGAAATGTCTCTTACGGCGCCGCACCTCAACTTAATCAAAATGTAAGTGAGCATCGTTGAGCAGTTCCAAAACTCAAGTAATTGGCCGTTGGGGTCTCCTTCCTCAAACCAAGCAAATGTTGATGATTTCACGTTGTTGTTTTGCAGAGAATAACTAAGAAATGTGCAAATACTCGTCATGAGCTATTCTTCTACCCCAACATTAGTTCTTTTGTTTTGCCGCGTCGTCGTCCTCATCTTTACGGTCCCTCCTCCAAACTGTAACGCCAAAAGAGACTAAATGCGAGGTAATCTACATACGCCAAAAACTCACCGATCTCGTACACCATGTTGCTCCATTGTTTTCCTACGCAAAATCGATCGAATGCACCACAGGGTTTATAATCATCCCCTAAACATTTGTCTGCCTCTGCCCTACCCAGGGACATGTAGTCGTTACTTGATTTGTGCCCTGCCCAGCATTCGCCTTCAATACAAGAGATCAAAAAGATTAAATATTAATAACGAAGAATTAACGTTTGTTTTGTCAAATGAAGGAATGATTTTCAACGATATGATATGTTCAAAACATGTTGGCTGCGAACTTGATTTCAAAATAATGAAAAATCAATCCAAGATTTCCTTCTCACCGTAGAATTGAACCCCAAACACATCGTAGCCTTGCCTCATCGCTTTTCTGGCACAGCGGCAAACAAATCCTGGCATGTATACATTCCAATTGAACCATTCAATTTTTCGACCACCATAGTTTTTTATTGACGGGTCGCGTTCGTTTAAGATGTAGTTTGGCAACGTCCTCTTTGTCTGAAAACAGACAAATTAACAAACAAAATTTAAACAAATGCACATTACTTCGTTACTTCGCCCACCAAAAATATAACACTCTCACCGAATCTTTGAAGCATCCAATAGTTTTAAAAGTCACGTCACATTCGATTCTGCAGATGTTGGTCGCTTCAGCTTCTAAACCTACCAATCATGGAAATATAAGTTAGATTACCATTTTTTCTATTTAATGTTTACTACTGAAAAAAAGCTCTTTATATCTTATGTGTATTTATTTGATGAAAACGGATCACAATTATTTATTTCGCACTTTATACTCTGTTAGCGACCACTCCCCCCCCCGCTCTGTCCCCTCTTATAATTTCCTCAAAATCCCCCTCCCCCCTCCCCAGCCGGTTTATAATGAATGGCCCCTCATACTTAACTGTAAAAAATCCAGATGATCAAGATGGGTAGCATTCTGAAGGAATCTCTTTGGAGCCTCTAGTGATCTATTTGACGGTAGTAAATTCATAAACAGAGTTAGTTAAGTAAGAAATGCTTTTTTCTTTGATAGGCGATTCCAATGGATGGTGATGACGATGGGGGAGGGGGCTGTATGCATGGAAAGAAAAATTCCTTTTATTGAGGGGGCGTGAAGGGAGGGAGATGGCTTTCAATCGCTTCATTCACGTCCTCTCTCCAGCACCGGCTTCGACGCCCAAATAACCGTCATTGTTAAGATCTCTCGAACAATCTCATCCCCTACACGATTTCATCCGTTATCCAGCCTTCTCTCGTGAAAAAAAAAATCATAAGGTAACCCATAGTATTTTCGTATCAGAAAAAAAAAATCGGTTTGGAATTGCTCTAGAAATTACCCTAGAAAAGGAAATTGGTTTCAAACTGATATTTGTCATACAAATTCAATCCCTAGCTGGAAGTTTTTTTCAGGTAAAAAGTTTGGATCAAAGGAGGACAAGATATAACTATTGGCCTTCACCTGTTTGGATCTGAGTTTAATGGCCTCAAGCAAATGAAACTGTGTTTCTCAAATAACGTTAATGAGGCCGCCTATTTGTAATGATGTCGAAAATATTTTTACAGCTATTTAGCATGCAAATAATTGTAGAAAAGAAAAATTGTGCCGACTGGTGCCACATTTTTTAATAAAAAGTCGAAGTTATTTATATTAAGGTGACAAGAACTATGCTAAGAAATACACAATCGGAGAAAAACTCCGTTTAAAAACTTCCGATATGAATGCAAATAGCTCAGTTAATACTTCAAGTTTTTCTTACGATTGATTGCATCACGTAATACATTAGTTTACCTTCGTAAAATATGATGTTATTGGCTGATTATTGAGGCACAGAAGTCCGTTAGATTTATTATTTATACAGCATAAGTATCCAATTACTTGTGTATCGAGACAACTGCAAGTAGATGAATACGTAGTTAAAAATGTTAACACCGATCTATTTAATAAAAAAAAGCTTAAAGCTTAATTTCAGTTGTTCAATTTGGAATGTTCTCAAGGTTACTAGCTATTGAATGGTAAAAATGAGGAAATATGTCAATACACTGGCTATTGCCCGTGCACAAATGAGTTTTTTTTTTTTCAAATCGTTCTAACATTGGCGCCCTGTAAATATTGAATTAATTGCTCTCGAATTCTTCTGAAAGGTTACCATAGAATACCATCATCCATTGCTGGATGTTTTTTCTCTTTGACCTTTCTGCCTTCTTCGCCCAAATCTTCGCAGAATGCAAATTATAATATTTTCTTTGCCTTTACAATAAATCTCCTGCCGTACACAAACTCATTTCTCTCCCACACTCGTCAAATGGGAAGGTTTGCACAGTATCAGAATGAACAAAGGTTTCAGTAGATGATGACAGCGATCTCCTTTTACAATCTATTTTTACGTTCAGCCTCCTACCATTTTATTCAGTTACAATACACAGTATCTTCGTGGACAAATAGCTCTTTGTGGTTTATTGGTGTGCATTGCGTGCATATCTTGTTTTTCGCGTCCGGCCCCCCATTTTATTTAGGTACAAACACGGTATCATCGCGTGCAAAAAGTTCTTTTCGGTTTACTGGCTTTGCGTTGTGTTCATTGTAAAAACTTCACTTAATTCTCAAAATTTTAATATATCGAAGGCAAACTTACCTTCTAGTCTTGAGCGCCAACAAAACACGCCTTAAAACTAAAAAGCGTAGCAATCGGTTTTTCCAAGTAATGACAACCACATCTATCACCGTTCCAGTAATAGGTTGCAAATCTGGTTGAGTATCTTGTACACATATATTTGACCAGCTGAATCATCTTTGTGCCTCGGGGAGCCAATGAAAACTCGAATCGAAAACATGTGAACTTATGTGGACGGGAAAACGCCGGTGAAGAAGTCACAAATTGTTCTAATTAAGCATCTGACTGTGGTTTAGGTGGCATTGCTAAATCTCTGGACCAATCACAGAAAGCGTATTGAAGTAAAATCATTGCAATCTCAAATTAAGTTCGACACTACATTAAAAACTTCTAGGAGTTAAAATCTGGTTCCTTTTTGTTTTTTGGGCTACACCAAGGCATCAGTGCCTCAACAGGAGTAAGTTTAACAAACTGCATTTATCATATAAACTGCGGTGATTTACAAGTATTTCCAGCCCTGTGAAAAGTTGTAACGGAACAAGTGTAAAATTACGATAATTGTTTATGTGTTTGATATCACCAATCAGCTGCTGACACGTCACTCGCCTTTCGCGCCACCCTGTCAGGTTGATAAATGAATGTCAAAGCGTTCACCATTCTCAATCGAAGGTCGTTTATAGAATTTCCCTGTTAGTAAGGGCCTATGGTGTTTATATCATGAACAATACAATACATGATTGCTCGTAGATATGGAATTTCTTTTCCCTTCAACACGATATCTCACCCGTTCGCTGTTCTCACTCGTGACATATCCAATTGAACACTCGAAGAGAAACTCCATATCTACGCTCGCCCGTGTATCATCCTCTATGCACTTACTGGTTTCCATGTTCTTTATATTTCATGTTGCTGAAGCTTTTTTTCGATACTCTAGGCTGTTTAGAGAAAGAATCTTCTCGCTCGATGAGCTCTAAACTTAGGACCTTATATCCTTCGATGATGCCGTGTAAGTATGCGTCTAGTACCCGAAAAGTCCGGGTACTAGACGTCTTTTCCTCGTGCAGCAACAAAAATTATAAAGCTGATTTTGCCTACCCTATTGCTGGGCTATTAGCAGAAAGAGGTAAACTCCCTGCGCTAAGCCAGAGGTTCTGAGAGTTTGCGCCTCGAAGGGATTTATTTTCGAACTTACTGGGCAGCCCACAGCTGCTGCAACTGTAACTATGACGGTCTTATCGTTCAAAGTCCACCACGATAAATTATTGACAAATTTTCGTTTAAAAATCTCCTGATCTCACATGACTAGAGCCGATACTTTCGAGACTTAATGGGGAAGGCAATAAGACAAACAATTGAGATCTATGTAAACAACCAACTCGGAAAGCAAATATTCCTTGATAAACCCTTGGGAAAAAATTAGAAAAATGATTTATTGCAATAGTACAATTGTATATTTTTAGTTAGTCCTGGCCAAGGTCAGCATCATAAATTCCCAAAGATATAAACTGTGGTGACTAATAGACCCTGAAATACAAACAATTGATTAAAATACCAAAACATGACATTTTTAGAAATCCGTTGCATGAGCTCTGCGTCCTCTTTCTGCGCCGTGAAAAAAGCATCATATCGTCACCGACAGAAACCACTATAAAAAAAGAGCAAAAATTTAGTTAAGTGAAAGAAAATAAAGGAAAGAAAAAAAGGAACGAGGTCAGATGAGGACGAATAGGATTCACATGGATTTCAAGAGGGACTCAATGGTGACAACCGTTACCTGTAAAACGCCATAAAGGCGTAGTCTTTGGACGTAAAGTTGATAAATCTTACTGGAGGTCGTAAAGAAAGTAAACTCAAAAAAATTAATTAACCGTCAGTCGTATAATTGGCAAAATCTTCACCGTTAGCTGATAAAAGCCATCATCTCATTGAGATCCTCTTGCAAATGTAAAACTTGAATAACTCGAGCTTAATTCTTTAGCTGCTGCTATCAAAACCTTAAACATAACAGGCGTAAATACTTCAAGATTATTGACCTTGACTGGACCACGTCTAAGTCAAACACCGAATATTATTATTATAAGATCATAATTTTACTTGAGTGACCCCGTGGATATTGACTGGTCGGAGCAAAACAAAAAAAAAAACAGCTCCCTTCACATTTTTTATTTTGTTTGTAAGCGGAAATCAAGTGAACCTAATCACATTTTCTATGGGCGCGGCTTCTGAAGAAGACTTTGACATCCATAACCAGAAAGCGATATTTTGAGCTGATTCTAGAAGTCTCGAAAAAAAACTTTTCCAATTACCTGATATGGCACTGCGCATAAAAATTAGTTACATGACGCGTAGCGGAATCTTCGATTACAGTCGAGTCATCTTGATTCGTCTGTATTCACCGATGGTGATGATAAAGAAACCAAAACAATTAAGATGTTTATACCATTCGCTATCTTTAAGGGCGTTGCAAAGATTGGGGGTTTTCACAAGGCTTGTAACCCCCCTCTGTCATGGGATAGAAATTAATAATTTATTATAACAGAACATTTCAGTATGTTTATGTTGAGCAATTCTGCCGTCTCCTTTGCTTGCCTGGAATTTGTTGCCAAGACTTCTAACTATGCGACTAAATCAGAGACCATTTTTAGAGGAATTTCTCCACGCTTCGACAAAAAATCCAGTACAGTATTGTGAAGCATTTTATTTTCTGCAGACAGACACTACATTATTGAATGAACAGTACAGAGACGTTCTGTAGAAATCATAACAAGATTGGCACTAAATCTGAGCTTCGATGATCAACTATGAAAACCTCGTCTTTGAGGGTTACAATTATTTATTAGCTAACAGCTATAGCTAGCGCTCAAAAACAAATTTCATCGCAAGGTCTAGCGGTAAATTCATACTTTCCACTGACAACAAATTATGTATGCAGCCACAAAATTTCGCAACACATCATCAATATTAATGTACTTTCCTTCTAAAACTGATAAAGATTTATAAAAGTGTTCTAGCAAAGTCATTTTTTAAAATAGCATTTAGATTACATCATTCCTTTTAATCGACCGCAAGACATAAACGCATGATAATTTTCTTTGGAAACACAACTAGGGCACAGAAGCCCAAGTAAACGTTGAGAAAATGATTCATCAAACTTACCAATGCTAATGTGAACTCTAAGTGTAAATTTAAAATTTTGAATACATTAGGTACAAAATTCAATTATCTATCTTATGTTGTTGTACCAATAAAAGCTTAAAAATGATTTACTTGACGGTGATAAATCATGTCATTAAAAGTAGGATATGTCAATATGCGATTTTGTCATCGAAGTGCAAAGTTCAGTTCACCGGGTCTGCTTCCTATCGATCTTTTGCTAAAATGTAAACATTTTCCATCTGTTCCTGAAGCTTCTTTCATCTCCCACGAATTGGTTCGAAATTCAACTCCATCCACTGAGATCCAGTTTCGTCACCGTTGTGAAATGCGTTTACCCACGCTTCATCTGATGGCCAAATATGGTCACGATTCCACAGCAATATCAACGTAGACTCGAAATGAAAACTCGTTTCAATTCAGACCCATGCTTCTTCCTGTTGGGCCAGCTGATCCCTCATTTGCTTCTGGTACAACGCTAAAAGTTCATTCCATCGATTGTTGCTCTGTTGATCGAACATTTCCAAGCTGTCGCTTCGGCTTCTTAGTCTTTCCAATTGATGCGACAGGATATTCACTCCGGTGCGAATCAGCATCGAATTCACGTCGTTAAAACTTCTTGTCAAAGTTTGAGTCGCTTTTAGAGGCAAGCGCTTGTTCACCGAAACGCTTCTTGAACGTAACATTCTTACTCGCCGATCGAAGGACCTCATTCCTGAAACATCCCGGGGCCTCCTGATCATAGAGTCGGGAGAGAAATAAATAACTTCCTCCAAATCCGTTGACCAATGCACTTTTTTTCGTTCTGCTAACGGCATTTTCTTCTCTATCAGAGAAAGTCTGGAAGGCCTACCCGGCAAGGATAATGATCTTCTTGACATTTTAGCGAAACAATTTCCCCGCTGATTCTCACTGATCTTCGTTCGCGACGCGTCTGCGCTCGTCAACTGGGCACGCCGTAGTTTGTTCTCTGTTTATCAGCAACGGAGCTGCTTTTAATAAGCCGTAATCTGCCTAATTTCCATTGGCTCGTGTGTGGTTGGCGTATCACAAATCGGCTCGCCCCCGAGCGCTAAAAATAGTATTGTTAACTTCCCGCAGGAAAAGAATCACGCTTCTGTTTTTTTTAAGTTGTCAAGTCTCATTTTACAATGCTTTATATTGAGATTAGAAGAGAAAAATAAATATTCTGTTACTTTCAATAACAATTAACTCCCTCTGATTAAATATGTGAACCGTTTTGTATTCTTGCACTCGTCAAATTCTACAGGCGTTAAATACATCGATAGCTCAATTCCTCTCCCACATTCATATATTGACGATATACTTTTTATTCAGGGAAATAAGAAAAAAAACGGGCTAAGAAATATAGAGTGTGGATCAACATTTATTTTCTCAAAAGCCAGGATAAAAGATCTAATACGGCCTTATAATCGTGACACATCAGAAACATCTCTTGATCTTATCGCTCAAAAAAGTAAATACGCCGCGGTTGCCACTGCAATGAAACATTCATGAATAACAAAAATATTATTCGTTGGCGTGGTTTCGGCATTTTAGCCACGAAAATTCAAGCAAAGTCACGTATAAGCGAACCACCCCAAAAAAACCAATCATTCTGGAATTATCAACTTACAGAGTACGTATGAGTCATCAATGCACGTGGCGTAAATGGAAATACATTTCTCTTTAAATGTGATAATTATGGAATCAGACGTTTGCATAGTCACGTTTTTGAAAAGAATAGTAAGTTTTGCTTTTTAAAAAAATCGAATTATAACCTTTTCCTGGGAAAGTTAAGCCTTATTCTGATTTCAAAGCTTATATTATATCATTGAGTCAATGCATCTTTGCTCCTTCTGCACGCCTTTCAAATCGATCGTTCCTAATCAATTCTTTTAAACCATTTTATGACACTGCACTTCCTTAAACGCGTTTGGGGAGCCAAGGCGCCACCTATGCATACCTATTGAAAGAAAAAATATATATTTATTACTCGAAATAACACGGAGTTAAACCATAAACAAAATGAAAAGGAAACTCGATTCTTTACACATGGATGCGAGTCAAGACTTCCTGTTTATTCTGTACATATATCAGATGTCGTTTATCTGCATATATTTTCTTAATTTCGATGTTCTTTTGGAGAGGTGTATGTCCACGGCAAGTTTTTTTTCGCCAGCCTTTCCGCTCTTTAAACCAACTGCAGTAAAAATTACATTTTCAAGTTGGCATGGCTGTATTTCTATTATAGGATTTGTGCAAAAAGGTGCCTCAAAATAAAGAGACTTCAATTTATCATTGGATCACGTCACCGGAGGAAACGCTGAGCACTCCACGCTGCAACAAGAGACGGTGAGAACCGTGCCACAAAGCTTTATTCTATTGTCTCTTCTTCTCAATTTTCTGGTAATGTCTCTTGAAGTGCTGCTTCAACCCACTCTAGTCTCAGTCGATCACGTTTGCACGTGTTGTCTTTAAAATGCCACGTGCTTATGTATAATAGCTTCCTTGAAGACATGTTTTGGTTTAGACCGACGTCACCCATCTTTAAAGGTCGAAGAAATAATTGGACGTAACCGCAAACCCAATCCTAGAAGTATCAGGAGAATTCGTTCTTATGATACAGCAGGTGTGATACGAGCGCGCAGATCAATATGTTGCGTTGACAACGAACCGTGGGCTCCATCTTACGTACACTGAATGTTGTATGATTGACAGGGGTGGTCAAAGAACCTCCGCACTTCTCGCAAACTGAAACACTCATTTGCCTGGTTTCTTTGCCTGCGTCTCTGTTGGCTCATTTTGTTGTCGAGTTCCAGCCTGCCTTAACAAATTAGCCGCAAAAAAGGGAAAAAGAGCGTTAAACAAAGAGACCCTGTCACTGCAAGGCAAACATCTTGTGAGAAGCTGCGGAATAGCCTCTGTGACCCAAACAGACGCGTAATGACAAAAAAATTGTACAATGCATAATGCGTAATTAATTCTCTCTGTGATTGGTCTGGATAAACTTCCGCCACTGTCTTAACCAATAGGGTAGAAGCGACTTGGTCTCCTGCGTTTTCCCCCGCTTCAGTCAGTTTACCTGCTTCTGCTTTGAGTTCTCAATGTCTGCTTGTGATATTTTTTTTGTTCTACTCGGTCGTTTTGATTACTACATTTCGAAAAGCATTTTAAACTCTGGCAAGAGACGGTTAAGCCAAGAGATATCGTCGTCACCCCAGGAGTGAGAACGCCGAAATTTCTCTTTGCAATCATGATATCAGAACAATATCAAGCAGATAGCAGATGGAATGTAGAAAAACAAAACAAATAGAAGGTTTAAGTTAATTTCACACCAATTCTAAAAATTAAGGTTAATTTAAAGGTATTACAGACGATAAGGAAAATCAGTCTTGAGATCTTGGAATTGAAAGGGTTATTTTAAGATCACTCTCATTTTCCGAGATGCCAGGAGAACATGAATTCTCGTGTCTCAAATTTTGCCCACAAATCCATAAATACTCTTTTTATTTAAGATATTAGTTTTAGAGCGTATACGTCATATATTAATCAAAAAGCGTGATGGTAGGCAAAGGCAATCGATTAATTTCAACAATTCGTCAGTTTTTTCTAGCATTCTTCGAAGCAATTTTGAATAATAATCTTTTTTTTTATTCGTTGGGCTCTTATTAGCATTGATGAAAACTAGAAAAAAGACTATGAATGCATATTTTGATAGAAAACAGTTTCTGTCACTCATGATGGAAGTCTTAGGTGGTGATCTTTCACTTTATCGTGTTAATACTACACTTTAATTAGGGCCAGACAGCATTTTCTATTAGTTTACCGGCGTAAAACTGAAAGAACACGAAAAAACTGTGGTATGAATCACAAGGCTCACAAAAGTCAGTTTTCCAACAAGTTATTAGCTCACCAAACGAAATTTTTTTATAAGTCAGGGAGATACATGACGTACATTATTAAATTTTGAATAACTGAGATATTTCTTGCACTTAGATATTCTTGGACAAACATCTTAAAGCCATTTACATTATTTTTTTGCGTTTGCAAAAGCTAGGGTTGAATAAATTATGCTTTAAGATTTGAGCAATACACTTTTGAAGGTCGTCCCCTGAAAATATGGCATTATGCCGAAAACTATGCTCAAAATTTTTCCTCATGTCCAATCAAAAATAATGATAACAATAATAATAGTCTTTATTAATTCATAAGATAAAACTGCATGTCTTATTTTACAAAACTTCCCATTTAGAACTAAGTTATATTTTACGTCCTAATTACAAATCTAAATTATTTTTTAATATTTACAAAATTCCAGTTACAAAGTTAGGTCATACCTAAAACTAAGGCGATTAAAATAGGAGTTCTTCACTCGATTTGCGTTTAAGTTTGCCGGTGACAAGGTTTGTGTTACTCTGGGCTCAATTTACTAATTCAAAATAATAGCTTTTAAGTGCCGCTCAACTTATCTGCACCCCACCAATCTAATTTCGGTAAAGAAGGTTCAATGTTAACATTTTTATCTCAGTCTTGTTGAAGGAATCGCCGAATTTTTTTAACCTTCATTAATTATACCGGCATCATGCTCCATGTTCTGACTTCAGCATTTATCTGCCCAAAACTATGCCGCCATAATTTATCTGACCCTAACAAAAGCAATAAAATGTATACCTTTTATTAGTTTATTCCAATAATAACATGAGTTCTGTTGCGATCTCTTATTTAAATCTTGCTAAACTTGTGTCATAATAACACGTTTCGATGACAGCCCTTCAAATTATTAATTTGAAAGAAGGCAACTTGATCACCAATTCGTTGTGGTATTACTTAGTGGACACCGGAAGCAAGAGAAACGCGCATTGGGAAAAGTTCCAGGGTCGCAAGCGAAGAGTGAACACGGAATTTTTTTAGCGGAAGTCGAATTCTACAGTTACCATCTAATTTACAAGTAACTTGAACACAAGGTAGTCACAAAAAACCCTCAACCATGAAATGATAAATAAAAACCCCAATTTTCCAGCATTTTGAGAAATGAAAATATAGCGACAGGTAAATATTAATTAGGGAAGGCGATTTGAAATTAATTATCTAAGGGTGTAGGTGGGTGCTTTTCAATGAGGAGACGAGACAAGATGTAATTTCTTCTTAGAAAAATAAGGACATGAATATCAACTAAAAATAGAATTATGATGTAATTGTTTTGAGTTCGAAGGACAAAACACGCGAAATTTCTGCGAAATAAAGAATAAAATGTCTGAAATTTTTACGAATATCATGCAAACATAACGAAAATATTTCACACAGACAGAAGAAGAGAAGCCTATTGGAGATATTCCTTGCACAAAAGAGCATAAAGTTTAATAATATCCGGACTTTGTTTCGAAATGAAGCCTGCGCCGATGGGAATCTGAATAAAAATAGTTCAAATGTCGGTATAACAGATCGAGATATAACTGTCCATAAGAGGACTTTTCAAGGTGTGAAGTGGTCGGTAACTGTAAAGAATCAAGACTTGCTATTAACATTTACTATTATGACCGCTTTAATAGTAACGCCTGTTTCCAAGAAAGGATGAACACATATGCAAAACGGAAGAGTTAGGCCAATCGCATATCGCTCTAAAATTAAAGTTGAAAATTATGCGAACTTTAACCGATGTACTACAGCAACAATAATTAAATATAAGCTGTTTCTCTAAGATGCGGGTAAAGTCGTATTGAGTGAGTAAGCCAGATATTTTAAGTCGTATAATTTTGTAAGATAAAAGTTTTATTTTGGCGGAACAAAAAATAAAACAATTTTTTTCGGTAATGTCAAAATTTAAAGTTCATTTGTGCATGTTAAGTTGCATGTCTTTATTTGTGGGCGCTATGCTAGCGTCATTACTACGAGGTCTTCCGGTGACCGAGCAGGTGCAAAGGAAGAACTCTCAATGGTCCTATCCGTGTTTTTA